ATGGAAAGTCTGAAAGAGTGCAAGACATGAAAGCAAAGGACCTGATTTGAGAACAAGGCACAACGAAGTGTCCAGGATTACTCTAGACTTCTGATCAGTAATAGGAAGGGAGAAGCAATTCGGCAGAGAAATGAGAGAAGATGTAAGTTCAGTTTTGGATGTGCTGGGATTGAGGATCCTGCGGTAATTAGATACGTAAGTCTTCTAGTGGTGGATGAAGTCTCTGTGCTGGAAATAGAGACTTGAGAGTCAATGCTGAGGTGGGAGCTGAAGTCTTCTATATGGTGAGACTGACCACAAAGGGAGAATATGTGGAAGAAGAAGAAGAGAGTTGAAGACAGGAGCTGGGCAAACCTGAGAGTCAGAGGAAGAAAGGCTAACTGGCAAAAACAGAAAAGGAAATAGGCAGAGACATAAAAACAAAATTTTAATTCAGGGAAAAGAAATCAGAGAATTCCAAGAAGAGAGTGATTGTAAGAGTCGAATGATGCCAAGAGATTGAAAAGAATCCACTAGATTTAATAACCAGGCAGCACCTGGTGTAGGCAAGAACTGAAGGGTCTAGTGGAAGACTTCAAAAGCAAGAAGTTAAGGAATGCATGAGAGGGGAGGAAGTTGAGAAAATACCAGTCATACACTGTGGATTGTTAAGTCTGGGGTAAAGGGAAGGAGGAAGGGTAGTGGCTGCAGGGACAGAGGGTTGTTTAGGATGGCAGACAGAGAAAAACAACCTCCCAAAGATGTCCACATCCTAATTCCCGGAACCTGTGAATACATTAGCTTACATGGCAAAAGGAACTTTATAGGTGTGATTAAGCTAAGGATTCTGGATGGGGACCTTAGCTTGGAGTATCCAGGTAGACTAGATGTAATCACAAAAGTCCTTTCTTATGAGAGGGAAGTAGATCAGAGAAGAGAGAAGATACCATATTCTAGGCTTTGAAGATGGAAGCAGGGGGTCACAAGTGAAGGAATGCAGGCAGCCTCTTTCTTTGCTGGAAAAGGCAAAGAAAAACAGATTCTCCCGTAAAGCCTCCAGAAGGTATGCAAGTAACCCTGCTGACCCATTTTAGACGTCCCATCTCAGAACTGTGGGAAATAAATTTAAGTCACTAAGTTAGTAGCAACTTATTACAGTAGAAATAGGAAACATTTCATTCGGTTTATTTTTTAGTAAGAGAGGCTTGAGCATGTTTACTAAAGAAAGAACAGAAGTGAAGCTCTGAAGACAAAAGAGAAAGAGAGTTTGTACTGTTGATGATAAAACTGAACAGTAAATTTTGGGATAAAAGCTGAGGTTTATTCTTGTATCCCAGAAGTTCTCTCTGTGATCTCTGGCTGAATGCTGAATGACTGAAGTTCACTAGGCAATGGGAAGAAATGCAATAAAGAGCACAGGCGTTAAAAATTAGCCTTGGAAAGGAAAAGGAACTCTTCTTCCATTAACAGAAAGGGAGGAAGGGAAGAGTATCTATACTGATAAATATAAAATGAATTAAGGAGGGTAATCTACTAATCAGCACTCACCTTCTAAGATCAGAGGTATTATTTACTGAGTAACTACTATGTGCAAAGCATGAGGTACTTGCATAAATTTTCTTTCTCAAAACGTTGCAAGACAGAAATTATCCACAACTGACTGCGGGAAAAGTGTCAAAACTCCTAGGATTCAGACGCAAATCTGTTTGACTCAAAAACACTAAAATATTGAGAAATCTGGTAGACGCACTATAACCAAGTGATCAAGGTAACAGCATCAGTAATAAGACATCAAAATTATTCACTCTTTGATAGGATGTACCAAGGACAGATCACCTCTGTGGTATTCCTTTACCCAATTCTGCAATAACACCTTTATCAAATCACAAGAAAAAATCAAACAGTGTGAGAGGTATTGTACAAAACAACTGATAAGTACTCTTCAAAGTCTCAAGATTATGAAAGACAAGGGAAGACTGAGGAACTATTACAGACTGAGGGAGAACAAAGACAAAACAAAGCAATGTGGAATCCTTGACTAGATCCTGGACAGGAAAAAAAAAAAAAATAAGGAAAGCATTAGGTGTTAAACTAGTGAACTCAAAATAAAATCCATAATTTAGTTAATAGTATGATACCAAAGTTAATCTCAGCTTTGATCATTGTATCATAATCTCAAAATAAAAGTTTAAAAAAACCCACTATACTGCACTGCTTGCTTCCACAGGAGCAAGCCACTTATTTACCTGTGGGTCTAGCTTTTAGTCTATTCAAGGTTAATTTGAATTAGCCTATGTTTAGGTTCTGCCTGGTGGCTAACAATAGCACATACAGCGTTCCTGAATTGCCTGGCTTCCTGGTCTGACTCCTGACCTAGACTGGTGCTTTAACACTTGACCTCTGGCTCCTGTACATTACACATTCTGAATACTGTCATCCAAACCCTGACCCCAGTCTCTAGAATAATATGTTCATTCGGAGAGCATCTAAGTGAGGACAGGTGGGTAAATCCAAAGGCTGCCATATAACAGCAAAGTCAGCAAAGTAACCTCAGAACATAGTGTATAATAATGATCATCTCTCTTACACGCACTCCTCACATGTGCAAACACATCTTCATAAAATGTAAACATGAAGAGGACTCTTAATAAGGGTTGCATAGTCTAAGACTTAAAAAATACTGTCTATGGCCATACCACCCTGAACACGCCCGATCTCATCTCAGACTTAAAAAACACAGAATACATCATAAATGCACAAAATTTAATATATTTCTCAAATCAGCTTGCTCTCTTCTCATTTATTCCAGTAAATGGACTACTTGCTAATGTTATTTACTTTAGGATGATTATTGCTAAGAAGTAATCAAACTACATACAGTACTTTGCAAATATTTATTCAGCCACTATTATGAACCAGGTATTGAACAAGAGTACTTAAAAGATAAGTGTAATCCTATTTAAGTTCTTTGACAGTTCTTTAAGTTCTTTAACTCTATCCAACATTGAGAGATTTTACCCATTTCCTATATATTTGGCCATGATCTATATCAGTGAGGTCCAATAAAAATATACTACAAGCTACATATATAAGTTTGTTTTCTAGTTTAAATTTTCTAGTAACTGCATTCCAGAAAACGAAAACAAAAGGTGAAAATAAGTTAAGCATTGTATTTTATTTAATCCAATATATGCAGAAGTTATCATTTCAACATGTAATCAAACTGAAAAAAGACTGATATTTACCTTTTTCCTTTCTGCATAATAAATCTTCAAAATCCACTTTGTATTATACACTTACAGCACACAAATCCAACTAGCCACATGCAGCTAGTCACTACCCTATTGGACAACACAGACCTTGATGCTAGTACTTATTAAAGAAGAAAATAAACTCTGAGTTATAGTGTTAAATTTCAATTCTGCTTTATTAATCAAATCCAATTATCTGTTCTACTTGGAAATCAATACATTCTCTGTTCTCTGAATTTTGTTTTTATTTTAATCATCCCAGAGATTATTATACTATATCTTCTGAGAGAAGCAAACACAAAGAATGATGAATTAAGTTGAAAACTCCTTCAGAGTGCAAGCTTTTTGAGTGTTTTAGTTAAAAGAACACATGCTACTCTCACAAAAATAAAATGTATTTTTAAAAAAACCAGACATTGAAGGGGGAGGGTATAGCTCAGTGGTAGAGTGCATGGCTAGAAGGCATGAGGTCCTGGGTTCAATCCTCTGTATGTGCAGCAAAAATAAATAAATGAATAAACCTAATTACCCACACTGCCCCCAAAAAAGAAATGTTTAAAAAAAAAAAGAGAGAGACATAGAGAAAAACATAAGGGGCCCACTATTATGAATGGCTGTCCAGCCTTAGCTGACTCTACAATCAGATCAGAACATGATTAAAACATATTAAATGAGTCTACACACCCAAACACATCTCGACTCTAAAGAGTTGATCATATCACTTATAATTAAAAGATTTACATTCATTTAAGACTTAATGGAGAAGAATTTAAAAGTTTCATTTAAAGTAAATTTCCAAATGTATACATGTATTCTTCCTTAAAAGTGTAGCTTTCAGGCTCATTCTATAAAGGATAGTTCATCTTTATGGCAAACACTTCTTTGAAATGTTAATGATCCTAAAAAAAAAAAGCTTTTGCAATAATTCACCCTTGGCCTGATTCTAAAGTAGAACTATAAAAAATTGTCATTATTTATAAAGACTAACAAACAACGTTTCTTCGTAAGTTGGGCCGCTCAATTTTAAAAGCATCATTTTCACTGACTACTTCCTAGCAGAGTGCCTGGCACACAGTATGTCCTCAACAAATGAATGAATATCAAGCAGCAGGTGCTAAGTATTAATACATTAAGCATTTCAAAATGAAACGTTAAAAAAATGGACTCTTTCAATTAAAGTGCTTAACTAGATCCCATTTTGAAATTGAAGCTACACTACAGCTAAGAAAACTTTCCATCAGTTATTTTCATTTAACACAACACGGCATAGATATCACCACCGTCATTTAATGTGAGGAAGGTGGGGCCAAAGAGATTAAGTCATACAATTATTAAGCAGTGGAGCCAGATTTCAAGCCCAAGTCCCCAATGTGTGTGTGTTGGGAAGGGGGTGTGTGTATGTTAATAAAACAATATCCCATGTTTCCCCATTTAAAAAAAAAATTCCCATTATAAAAGTTTCAGAGGAAGACTACACAACGGATAGTTCCCAATTCCACACACACATGAAATCCACAACTTTTTTAAGAAATTAAGACTCATTTAAATGATAACAATCGGCATTATGTATGAGAATTTAACTCCAACTAAACAAAAAGGCGACGTCCTCCTATGCGTCCCTCCGGGGATAAATCAAACTGGGAGGGAAAGCATCCCCTGCGGCCTGGGAGAGACACTTCCAGCAGAGAAGAGGCGGCGCTCTGCCCGGCCCTCGGGGAGCAGTGGTCCCCTTCCCCTAGGACAGTACCGGGCCTAACGGCTCCAGCCTACCTGACGGGCTCCCGCCACCGCTTGAACCAGCTGCAGCAATTGGCCATCAGACTGAACATCCCAGGCCGCTCCTCCCGCCGCCTCCCATCCGAGCCCGGAGCGGGGATGGGCCCCTAGCAGTCCCAGGCCGAGTCCCGGGGGCCGCCGCTACCGCTCCGAGGCGCCCTTAAGGCGTAGGGCCGGAGGAGACGACGGGAGGGAGGTGAGGGCGGTCAGTTCAAGCAACAAGCCCAATAACCGCGCCAGCCAGCGAGTAGACAACGACCGCGCTCCTCGCCCGGGCACAGCCGGGCCAAAAGCGCAGTTACACCGACCGGAGAAGGATAGCCGGGCCGGCGAGAGTAAACCCCCGCGTCGACGTAGTGACGTTCTCCCAGGCGCGGAAGGCCCGCCCCAAACACCGCCCATGCACTGCTCCAATCACCGTTCGACGGCCCGCGGTGGGGGGCTCTGAGTGGCTGAAGTGGCCCGGCTCCCCGCCCCGGCCAGAGAGGAGGGAGGGAGAAAGGGGCGTGGTCTAGAAGGAGGTGGCAATGGCGGGGAAGGTGGTTCTCGTAGCTAGGCAACGGAAGCGTCCTGAGATGAGCTGAGGGACCTCGGACAGATTTCAGGCAAGATCTATCTGTATACCTATTCAAACTGTGTTGCCAACCAAGGGCGCTGCTCCTCGTCTGTCTCCAACTACAACTGAGATCCAGACATCTCAGGACTTGCGCGTGTTTTGTTTTGTTTTATGAAACAAAGGTGGGGATCCTACGGGATTCCGGCCGACTCTGGCTACGCAACTACAGAAACAATTAAGGAGGGAAAAGGAGGGAGGGTATAGTTCAAGTGGTAGAGCGCGTGCTTAGCATGCATGAGGTCCTGAGTTCAATCTCCAGTACTTCCTCTAAGAATAAATAAATAAACCTAATTACCTCCCCCCACCAAAAAACAACAATAAAAGCAAACAGAAAAAAGGAGGGGAAAACTAATTTGCTAACTATCCAATAGTTCAGATTAGAGTGACATTTTAATCTGTATAACGTTTATTGCTGTTCGTTACATAAAATGTGAGATGGAATTGTATGATACTTTGTGAAGGGTTATGATTACCCAAAAAAAATAACATAGTCATTGTAGAAAATGGGAAAAACACTGAAAAAAGAACAAGCTGAAGAAAATACAATCTCACATTCACCACCCAAAGATAATTAGTGTTAACACTTTGATGTATATTTTTTCCAGGATTTTTAGATACATAGATTGCTAGCTATTTGGTTTCTGCAAGATGGAGATCATGATCTATTGGCTGTTTTGTAACATGTTTTATTTTATGAAAAGAAATACAGAAATAGACTCATGGACAGAGAATACAGACTTGTGGTTACTGGGGGGGGTAGAGGGTGGGAAGGGATAGACTGGGATTTCAAAATTGTAGAATAGATAAACAAGATTACACTGTATAGCACAGGGAAATATACACAAAATGTTATGATAAATCACAGAGAAAAAAATGTGACAATGAGTGTGTATATGTCCATGAATGACTGAAAAATTGTGCTGAACACTGGAATTTGACACAACACTGTAAAATGATTATAAATCAATAAAAAATGTTAAAAAAAGAAATACATAATATCTACATTTCCTTTATATTCTTTGGAAATAAAGAAATGACAAGCACACTCCTACAGAAAAAAATGAATGTATTGTATGTAGGGAGCTGTGTGTCCATTGAGCCTCTACTTAAATACATATATTCAAACCTTGGTAAAAGGAGAAGAGGACCCTGGGAAGCCCAGTGTATCCAAGACAAAATAGTAGTTTAGGACTAAGGTAGATCAAGTTTTAAAATTATTCTCTTTTACTCACTCATGTAACCCTAGTTCAAACTCGTATACATCTCTTACAGCTTATTGGCTTTGAACTCAAGTACCCTATAAGTAAAATGGGAATGAAAACACCTACTTTGCAGGGCTGCTAAGATGATGAAATGAGAGAACTAAAGCTCAAGTGCAATTTCTAGCAAGTAATAGCAGATTTTGAAGTTGGTGTCATCTGTCCTAAAAACATTTAATGGTATGTATCCCCCTATCTCTGCCTCCAAACTGCTAGGGATCTTGTTCACTATTCTCATTGTCCTGCCTTGATAACTTAAAATTTCTTTCCAGTTGCTCGAGGCCTCTACTGGTTTTCCTAACTGAACCTGTCCTTCGTCATCAGTGCTGGGCTGCCTCTGCCCAGACTACCCTGTCCAGACACTATAATACCTCTATTACTAAATTTAATACAGGTAAGTCTTCTAAAATTCTTTCCTCCCTTGGCTTTTCACAATTATATACTATTCTTGTTCTCTTCCAATCTCATTGGTTACTCCTTTTTCAACTTCCTATATATATTCTCTAAGATCTGACCCTATCCCTCTGCTTTCCTTTTTAAAAAACATGTTCTCTTCGAGAAGCCAATGACTACTTCTGTGCCTGAAGGGCCTTTCTTTACTTACTATCCTCAAGCATTTCTGAAACTCAATACTCAACCCCACCTTTTTCCCCAAACTATATGCAACCTTAGCTCTACTTCTTCTTTTCCCTAATTCTAATAGTGTTACATTACCAAACATTTCTGGTGCCAACATACAGTTGGTCAGTTAGTTAACTGGATGATTATTAGTTTTTCAATATATTAAGTGGTCTGGTAGACATATATGCTGCTCACTACTTCCAGTTGTCTTTTTCTTTTATAAGCACATGAGAGAGTTATTTCTACCCTCTTGAAGTCATGGGAACTGCTTTGTCCATTGAAATGTGACTGTAGTGACTGTATCACTTCTTTGTGGAAGCATCTAAGAGCTGGTCCACAATCTCCATGTTCTATCTTTCTTCCCTTACAATAGTAACTGTGGAAGCCTACTTTACCTTTGAAGTACTTATGACATCAAAACAGCATATAATGCTGAGCCAGCACTTGGGAGACAGCTGCCTGGAAAGTCCTTTAGGTGACTTCCCATGAGCAAGAAATAAACACTTATTTTAAGCCACTGTAACTTTGTGGCTGTTTTACCACAGTACAATCTAGTTTATTCTAAATGAAGAAAACAATCTTGATGTCATTCTAATTAAGACTCTTGTTTCATCTCCCAGGAATGGTTGAATTTGCATCCTAAATGTTACCTGGTTTCTTCCTTTTCCCCTCCAGTTTTACTGAGGTAAAATTGACAAATAAAATTGTAATATATTTGAAGTGTCCAATCTGATGATTTGATAGATGTATACCTTGTGAAATGATTCCCACAGTCAGGTTAACTGACACATCTGTTACCTCACATAGTTACCTTGCTTTTCTTTTTCTTTTTTTTTTTCTGAAAACACTTAAGATCTACTCTCTTAGCAAATTTCAAGTATACAAAACAGTATAATTAATTATAGTCACCAAGCTATACATTAGATCCTCAGAACTTATTCATCTTATAAGTGAAAGTTTTGTACCTTTTATCAGTCTCTCCCCATTTCCCCACTCTTCTACCCCTCAACCACCATCCTACTCTCTATTTCTATGAATTTGCCTTTTTTTAGATTCTACATGTAAGTGATAACATGTAGAATTTGTCTTTGTCTGGTTTATTTCACTTAGTATAATACCCCAATGCCGTGTATAAATGTGAAATATAGATAGATAGATAGATAGATAGATAGATAGATAGATAGATAGATAGATTGATTGATTTCACATTTTCTTTATCCATTCATCTGTTGATGGACACTTAGCTGGTTGTTTCCATATGTTGACTATTGTGAGTAATGCTGTAATAAACTTGAGAGTACAGATGTCTCTTCAAGGTAGCCATTCCATTTATTTTTGGATATATAACCAGAAGTGGGATTGTTGGATCTGTTGACTGGAAAAATAAACTCGCAATGTACGAGCTGCGAGTTGAGTTTTATTCAGTGTCTTACTGAGGACTGTAGCTCAGGAGACAGCCTCTCAGATAGCTCTAAGGAACTTCTCTGAAGAGGTAGGAGCCAGTGTGTGTATGTGTGTGTGCGCACATGCACATATATATCTCGATATTTTGGCTGGGAAATACATGCAGTCAAGCATACATCTTGGTAAAAGATAATCACACAAAAAACAGGTATCGCCAGTTAAGGATTTTAGTGCTTTGTAAAGGAAGATGCAAGAGTCTGGGGTTATTAAAATTCTTCCTTAGATATGAATTTTAACTATCTAGGGGCCCATATATCCAAAACACAGGACATCTCACCCTGGGTTTCTTTCAGCATGTACTTGTAAGTCTGTGACTGCAGTGATTAATGACTTGAACCTTGCAGAACTGGAGTGGTGGGGGACATTCTTTGTTTACAGATCATATAGTACTTCTATTTTTAATTTCTTGAGAAACTTCTGTACTGTTTTCTATAATGGTTGTATTGATGTACATTCCCACCAACAGTGAACAAGGGTTCCCTTTTCTCAACATCCTCACCAACACTTATCTCTTATATAAATGGTACTTGGTTTCTAATCATTCCCAGCTCTGATCCATTTTGTAAACATTTAACAAGGCAACACTCTTAAAGTACAGCCATAAAAATCACTCTATCTAAAATAAACAAACAAATAAAATAAGACTAGTCCTCAAAGCCTGGGATTTAAATACTTTAGTATTTGTTAGTTTTTACAAAGCAAATATTAAAAGACTATTGTGGAAAAATAAAATATACAGATCAGCAAAAGGAAAATGATCCATAACCCTACCCCTGGAAATAATCACCGTTGATATTTGGGCATAAATATTCGTAGGCTTGTATTGTTAAATTGAATTTAATTGAATATTTATGTACCCATCACTGTTCTAGGCACTAGGAATATAGCTGTGAACAAAACAAAACAAAAATCCCTGCCCTCATGGATTTTACACTCTAATGGAGGAGAAGGATGAGGATGCAGATAAAAAACATAATAATTAAATGAGACAACATATTAGTAGATTATATGGAGAAACATAAAAGTGAATGAGGGGAAAGGACTAGAATTAGGACTGGGAGAGGGGATTAGATTAGCAGTTAAATTTTGGATAAAGTTTAATTGCACATCATAGAGTGAACTTGTGAGATAAATTAAAAACCTGAAAATTTTATCCAAAGATGAATTACTAAATTTTGTATTAAAACATTCAAGTGTATAATTTTTCGAAGTCTGACGTTACACTGTATTGGTAGGACACATAATTTTTTTAGCACTGACAACCGTTGCTGATACTGTGACATACATTTGCAGTATTAAAATGATACTCACTTTCAGTTGAAGTCTTTGAAAGAGCAAGATTTTTCTTTTAGGTACCTCACATTTCTCTAACATTTCTGTCTTCATATTCCTTATTTTATTTAATGTCTGTATCGAGATGATTTGTTATGATTGCTGTTGGGAGGGAGGGTATAGCTCCAGTGATAGAGCGTGTGCTTAGCATACACGAAATCCTGGGTTCAATCCCCAGTACCACCGTTAAAAAAAAAATAAACCTAATCCCCCCCCCGCAATAAAAAACCATTAAGAAAAAGAATAGCAACTTAAAAAAAAGCAGTTAAAAACAAAAATAACAAATGAATGTTGTAGATTCATGATTTTGGAGGTTTTCCCTCCTTGTGAAATTTTGAGATCTCAAAATTGATATTCTACTCAGTTCCTCCTCACAAGATGAGGAAAGATTCATAGCCTAAATATATATAAATATTCAGTAATTAAATATAGTACTTAAAGGTCATTTTGTTTTATGTTATGATTGATTGCTAACACACCAAACAATTCTACAGAGACTAGAACTATATTTATAACTAACTCACTTGGGGCTGGGAATAAAGTGGTGAATAGATTGATATGGTAGAGTCAGACACTGCAAGAAGCAAGAGAATTTAAAAGAGGGAAGAATATGGATGGATATATTCAACAATTTCATGTCAAATGTTCTTATCAGAAAAAGTGACTCCAGTATCAATGTCCATCCAGCTGGATCACAGAACCACAGACGAGCTGGAAGAGACCCTTGAGAGATCATCAGCCTATTGACTTTTATTCACACACACACAGGAAATCAACTGATACATTCGTTTGGGCAGAAATACTAGAAGTGATAATAGAAAGAATGCCTTAAGTATGTACTACTATTTAACACACTGATGGCCTCACATGTGTCATCTCTTTAAGTTTACATTAACACTGTGAAAACCTACTATTATCTCCATTTACAAATAGTACAACTATTAAGTGGAAGCACTGCCATTTGAATCCAGGCAGTTTAGCTCCAGAGGCAGCCCTAAACATCAAGTAACATATTTCAAATGTGTACGTCTAAGCACAAAAGCAGAGGTAACATGCAAAAAACAAAACGAGCTGTTTGAAGGCGAGGGAATTTGAGACATTCTTTTTTTCCCCCAAACATCTTTTTTTGCTATAGTTTTTTGCACTATAATTGTAAGAACAAAACAAAAATGTAGATCAAAACTATCCCGTTTGCTTCCATTATCTCTGCTCTCTGTAGCCTTCCCAGAGGTCTCATTCGCTTCTAAGGGTGTTGATTAACATCCTCATTCCCAGCGTTAGTTCCTCACAGTTTTCTCCTCTAAACCTGGACACCACATCCTCTCTCTGGGTTCTCAAAGTTCTCTTGGCCACTCAGCCTTCCACCCCAGGTCGCTAGAGGTTTATTTTTTTTTTTTTTTTTTTTTTACTTCCCTTTGTCTTCCCCTTTCTCCGTGGCAAACTTCACAATCCAGTGACCGCTGGAGAAGGGCGAGGAAGGATGTCTGGACAGTGTTTACTAGGCCTCCAGCACTCTCCCCCAGCCCTGCCCCCAGCTCCGAAAAGAAAAGCTTCCTGGAAATGTCCTTGTTATCGCTTCCCGCGTCGGGCTGGGGGCTGGGAGCGGGCGGTCCCCCCGCCCCCGGCTCGGCCGCTCCGCGGGCGCGCTCGCTCGCAGCGCCGCCGCGCCGCAGTCCTCAGAGAGCGGCGCCCGGGTCGTAGCTCCGCGGCGCGCAGAGCGCAAGGGTCCTCGCGACGAAGCGCCACCGTCCCCGCCCGCAACTCCGCCCGCTGCGCCATGAGGGGCCCGGGTGGGCGCTGCGGGGCGCTGCTGGCGTGCCTCGCCCTACTGCTTCCCGTCTTGGAGGCGAACTGTGAGTAATCAAAAGCGTGCTGTCTTCTCCTTCCCTCAGCGGTGCCAACTGAACTGCGAGCGCGGGTGGTAGGATTTTCTTTCCTAGGGCTCCTAGAAAGTTTCCAGGGAGTCTGACAATCGCCGGGCTGAAGGAAGCAGCCGTGGATTTAGCGGGCAGTGTAATGGTGGGGCAGGGTCAGTATTTGCCCTGCTCTGGGAATCAAGTGTTGCCTACAGGACAGGTTCAGGAGCCCCAGTGACACTAAATGTCAATAGAGGAATTAGAAAATCTACCTATTTGCCTTCAATAGCTGAAGTTCCCAGTCAGAGGACAAGGATGAACACGTTCCAGTGTAAAACTAGGAAGGAAAAGGCAACCCACGCTGTCTTCCCTTCGTACCCAGCCAGAACCAGCACCCCCTGCTGCAGCCTACCACCCGTCTGCAATTTCTGGACTTTGAGCTTGGTGTGCTTATCTCAACATTGACAAACGAATTGTTTTGGGATGACTGCGGGTTTGCATAGCAGTAGGGAGATGTCATTTTTTAACCTTGAAATCAAAAGGACTGTTAAATATTGTAGTTCTCAGATCATCTTGTACTGAGGATTTTTGACACTGAGTGCCACATGAATTCTTTGTACTTTATCTTTGTATTTCCTTGATTCAAGGCAAGATACTGAGTTTTCTCTAAAAAATATGTAGGGATGTCAGGGCATTTAGTACATTTTAGTTGTCACTTAATTTGTTGGTTCTTTAAAGTTTAAGCATGTTCACTGGTCAAAAATGCTTACTTGTGTTATGTTTTATTCTCAGGAAATGGCATGGGAGAGATAAATTCTGAAGTACACCATAATTTTTAGGTTGCTTAAAGCTCCAGTGTAAGTTTTTCAAAGATGAGAATTTCACGAGAGTTAAATAGGAATTTACTAACATCCCACTAATTTTTATTGGTTATAGATCAGAATGAGTGAGATATTGAAGAATTCCAATTTTAAAGCTAAAACAACACTTGTTAATCTTACATTAAAGACCTACAATAGCAGAATGTCAACATTCAAACTCCTATCATTAAGCTTATATGTGGACCACATAACACTAACTCATTATCTATATAGTTCATTAGGACAATCAAGTATTTGTCCGATGATCAGTGTTTTGGAGAAGAGAAAAAGGCAAAAATGGCTTGCCACTTACTGCTTGTCACCACAGGAATTTGCTAATTCTTTCTTTTTGTAGAAATTGTTACATTTTCATTGAATCTTGGTAGAGTTAAAAATGATGTGTGTGTGTGTCTGTGTGTATTATACATAATCGAAACATATACATGGGGAAATACACTTGTTTATATATATATATAGACACTGATAGAATAGATAAATTAATTCTACAGCTACATCGCATAAAGAATAGTTGTCCCCATAATGCCTTTATTTTTAAAAGTATGGTAGTTTAATTGGATTAAAAATAATTTCTGGCTTACTAATGAGAAAACTGAGATACAGATGGAATATTTTTACTACCTAAAATTTTAAATTTGAGATCAAATTAGAACTATAAATATTCTGTTTATAATTAATTGTTTAGTCTGTAGAAATACAACTGTTTAGCCCATAGAAATACAGTTCTATTTAAAGAAAAGTTTACAGATCAATTTTAGTTTTGAGAGAGTTATTAGAAATCATCGAGTTTAACTTTTTTAGCCATGAAGAAATTGTTCAGAAATGTTACCTGATTTCCCAGACATGTTTTTATATATCAGTATCTGTATCTGTATCTATCTAGAGAGAGAGATTTAAAATAATACTGTCTATATATTTTGTGTCACTTCCCACTAAAGGCTGTGATGAAGAAAAATAGAAGAAAGATGTCCCCTTTGGCTGTGCTAATTTGGCCCTTTGCAGACTTCCACTTCTGCTTAGGAGCAGACTACCCTTGACATTACTGACTCATATTTTCCTTCTCTTTTTTACTTTCTTCTTTCCTTCTCTAACTATTCTTTTCACTGTTTATCTGCCTTTGTCTTTTCTTAAATTCACTTCATTTCAGAGTCCAAAATGTTGCACTGATGAAGAGATTTTTTCAAGCTTAGGTTAGAGTGAGATTGGTGCTGGAAGAGTTAGAGGCAATATCTGGTATGCAACACCACCACCCTATGCTATATTCTCTTGCCATTAATTCTATCTAGGATCTACAGTCGTGCTTTTCATTTCAGACCTTTTCTGACCACCAAGTTCAATATCCTCTCTAATAGCTAAATGATCTGTATGCACATTTAAGCTTTCAAAATACTATGAGAAAAAATGTGAGAAGCCTGAGAATTCACTTATTAATTAATATTCTTTAGCTACAAGCAACAGTAATGACTCTTGCTAACTAAAGAAGAAAGGAAGGAAGGGGCAGAAAGAAAGAGAGAGAGGAAAGAAAGAAAGAAAAGAAGGAAGAAAGACAATTAAAAAAAAGAATAAAATAAAGGAACAAAAGAAAGAAAAACAAAGAAAGAAAGGAAGGGAAAAAAAAAAAAAAGCCGAGTGGATTTCTTGGAAGACTACTTAATGGCATGTTGAATAACCAGGCCTAGGGAAGCCAAGGACTTGGGTGTTTTAGGTGATCTATGTAGTACGAACTCATGTGCTCACTATATTAGGAGCTGCCATCAGATGACTCAGTTCTGTCTTCTGGTCTTGTATATCCCTGCTCATGATTGAATTTCTTAGAAAAGAGAACCTGATTATTTTGGCTTAGCTTGTTTGTGGAGTCCTGTGATTGACAGCTCACTAGAATCAGATAGAATGCCAGAAGGACACAAAGTAATGGATGCTGGGAAGGAAGCAAAGATGTTGATGGAGAATAGGTTCTTGTCTCGCACAGGAAAGAATTCAAGAGCAAGTCATAGTAAAGAGAGAGTAGATTTATTCAGGGAGATATACACTCCATCCACAGAGTGTGAGCTATCTCAGAGGGCAAGCGAGGCGGCCCCAGGGTTGTTAGTTTTTATGGTTTGGGTAATTTCATATGCTAACAAGTGGGAGGATTTTCCCCACTATTTTGGGAAAGGGTTAAGAATTTCCAGGAATTGGGCCCCCGTCCACTTTTTGGCTTGTATGGTCAACTTGGGAACTGTCATGGTGCTGGTAGGTTTGTCATTTCGCATACTAATGTATTACAGTGAACCTATAATAAGGCTCAAGTTCTACTGGAAGTTAAGTCTTCTGCCATCTTGAGCCAAGTTGGGCCTAGTTGGTTCTAAATAGTTTATATCCTATCCTCAATTGCTGTGTCATCCTTTTAATGACTATGCCCGGCCCCCTTCCCTCCTGTCTCAGAAAAAAGAGGAATCTACACATTCTAATTATTGGCTGTACAACATACACACATGCCCTGCTTTCCATAAATACCATTTGAAAGTATTTCAGATATGATGCAGAGACTTCTAATATAATGCAAATAACTAATGTTCAGTAGAAAGGACGTCCTCCTCAATAAATTCCACTCAATACACTGGGAGAAGAAGGCTCAAGGCTACTGTTTCCTAGGGTGGTACCATCGGGTGATGTCCATGCCTCCTCTAGTTCTGTCACAATCCTATGTCGATGTGCTATGTTTTATGGATGAAATGATACATCGTAGTAACCCAAAACATCCTGTATGCCAAAAATAATTTTAAAAAGACAAGCAAAGGAATACAGTTACTGGCGTTAGGGCTTGCCTGTCTCTCTTGGTTTGAAGCCAGAGCTGGTATTTATGACTTCCTCCTTCACTACTCAGTTCATATGCCTCTTGCTTTTAGGCAGTTCCTCATGTTTGATTTTTTTTGACCTTTTTTTTATTGAGTTACAGTCATTTTACAATCTTGTGTCAAATTCCAGTGTAGAGCACAATTTTTCAGTCATACATGAACATACCTATATTCATTGTCACATTATTTTTCGCTGTGAGCTACCACAAGATCTTGTATATATTTCCCTGTGCTATACAGTATAATCTTGTTTATCTATTCTACATATGCCTGTCAGTGTCTAACTCATGCTTGATTTTTTTGTCTGCTCAATGAGATGAACCAGGTCCTTATTCAGGAAGAATCTGAGCCCTGCCTGTGGATGGTTGCATCCATCTCTCTTCCTTTACAATTTCTACTGTGTATAGTAGTCATCCTGGAGAAGCAGCACTTCTTCTGACCCTGATGTGTATGTGGCAGCAGCACTATTTTGTGTAAATTATTGTCATTCTAGCATAACTCTTTCCTTTTTTTCCTACAAGAATAAAGAACTTGAAGTGGCCATATAGCAGTCTCAGCTTCAGATTAAGTGGGAAGTATGTTAGGTGTCACAGTGAATGCATTTCTTCCTGAGGTCCCAGTTTCTGGATGAGCAGAACCTAGTTGTAAAGAAAGAAAGCAAAATAATTGAGAATAGATCGTTGAATTCGTTTCTCAGGGCTGCCATAACAAAGTACCACAAATGGAGCGGCTTAAATAGCTGAACTCATTGTCCCACAGTTCTGGAGACCAGAGATCTGAGATCAAGGTGCCAGCAGAGCTGATTCCTTCTGAGGACTGTTCCACGCCTCCCTCTTAGCTTCTGGTAGCCTCAAACATTCTTTGGCTTCTAGATGGCATTCTCCTTATGTCTTCACATTATCTTTCCTCTATATATGTTTATCTCTGTTCCAAATTTTTCCTTTTCATAAGGATACCAGTCATATTGGAGTAGGACTTTCTCTTAATCTGACCATCTGTGAAGCCCCTATTTCCAAAGAAAGTCATGGTCACAGGGTCTGGGGGATTAGGACTGCACCATTTTTATAGCAGACACAATTCCACTTGTTCACTAACCATCAAATCATGACAAGTACTTCTTCCCTTTCTACTTTCATTCCTGACCTGTGGATTTTGGCTCTAGGAGAAAAAAGCACTGTATATTAATGATTGCTTATTCAGAAAATGTACCTCTTTTTTTTGCCATATTTTGGAAGATAGAATTGTGTGTCAAAAGGCAGTAACTGAGCCCTCAATAGTTGGT